TGACATAACCTTTAGCATCACAAGCAGCTTTCTCTTGCATTAGTAATTTAATTGAAGAGGTTTATGGAGCCATGCAGAGGTAGTTGCACGGCCCCTTCAGACTATACACACACACTTTTCCAAGCAGACTGTAGTGTCCAGCACCTCATCTGTATGTACGTGTCAGCAGCCTGCTTCCCATGAGCTTGTACAGTGGGGGCTGTGTGGGTTATCAATGCTATGCAATAGTTATGCCTTATCAGACTATCCCTGTTTAGCAGCTTGAGGAAGAAGACAAAAACAAGCCCAAGGCTCCTGTGTCTTTTGATCTACCTTGCAGGGAAGTGGCTGTTGAAAAGTGCCTTGAGCCTAAGGCAAGGTGAAATGAAAAAGCAGTGCTGGGTTTAGAGGGGAAAGGAGGACAGGTGTGCAAGAAACAGGACTGGCATTCAAGGGGGTTGGCTTTCCTGATTGCTACGGGCTTTCCAGAGAAACAAAGTGCTTGATGTAGATGGTCTCCAAAACAGGTGTGATGTGATTTTTCTTTCATCTACCCCTGATCAAACTTCTTAGATCTCATGTTCAGCAAGATAGAAGCTACCATTTCCCATGTTTGTACAACACTTAGTGGGAGAAGACCTTGATCTTGGCTTAGTGCTCCCTACACACAGCTGTATCAGGGTGGCATTGGCACACATCAGGGATGTCAAAGTTTAACCCTTCCTCTCCAAAACAGATGTGTTTGAGGTGCCTTGTCTGAGCCCAAACTTCTTCAAGTAAATCTGCCTCTGTCTTGCAGCGATAAGGTGGCACGGCAGCTCTACTACTGCCATCTGAAAGAGCAAGTTCTGATGTCTCGGTGCAACCACAAAGAAGAAATCTACTTCTTGCTGGCTGCCTACAGCTTACAAGCTGACTTGGGCAACTACAGAGAAAAGGTCCACACTGGCAGATATTTTGAACCTCAAGCTTATTTCCCACAATGGGTAAGTTTTGGGGAATCCTCTGTCAACAGATTGTATGTGCAGCAGGAGCTATGTCAAGGTGATGCCTAACTGGAGCCACACAATATCCCCAACTCCCACTGCAATGATCAGGCAGAGTGGTAAAGCGGCACCCTGAATTTCCCTCGGGAGACAACTGCTCTCTTTCCACTGGATGTAGGTGTCCATTCCTCCTGGGCTAACTCATCAGTGACGTGGGTGGTGTGTAACCTTTGTTGGTGAGGGAATGTACTGGTGTAAAATTAAGAACTCTGACAGTGCGGCTGTCTTTATTTAATTCTTCTATGGCTTAAAGGGTTGTGTGTTTGCAGTGGTGCATCAGCAAGATCTGCACAACCCAAGCTCTACAGAAAACCTCAGGGCCTTGAAGCCAAGTCCATTGCCCTTCGTTCCTATCTCTGGGATGGTTAGACCCAAACCCTGGGGGGTAGTACTGCTGTGCAGTGCCTCTAGTGCTTGCTTTGTCATTAATCTGTGGCTCAACTGCAGTAAGGAAGGGCCTGGAAATGGTTTTGAATGTTTGTTTATAAGCATGTGCGCATGGGCTGTGCCCTTCAAGATTTACAAATCCAAGAGCTGGTTTAGTTGTCAAATGAAGGCAAATTAGCTAAGACACTGTCAGAGCTGGTTACCTACAGAGAGTTCTCCTCTGGTGGTGAAGCGTCAAGAAAACTTGATAAACACTTTAGTGTCCATAAAAATAGAAGGGGAAGCTTGCTTTGCTACAGGCACATCCCTGTAATGTGTGATGTCGGTTGGAGCAGGATGTTCCCTAGGACCTGTACAGACCCTCCTCTGCAACCTGATTTGGTTCTGGAGCGCCCTTCTCTGCTGTGACAGCAGATTTTAAGCCCAGATGCCTCAGGTAGTTGGTCCGCAAGCAAGTTGTGTCTCCCTTGATAGGTGGCACTATCCCCTGCTTTGGAGAGAAGGTTCAGAACAGTGACAGGGGTTGCGCTGGGGAGGCAAGTCTGGTAGAGTCTCCTTCATGCACGAGTGCCAAGCCTGCCTGCCTTGCTGTGCAGAAATGAGCCTTTCTTCCAGACAACAGGCCTTCATCCCATGCTGTTCCTTGTTATGGGTTGCCTGGCAGAAGATAGCTAACAGAGGCTGGAAAAGGTGGGTCTCATGCGTGCTGTTTCTGGGGCAGTTAAAAATCTTATCACAGACTATTGCTCATCTGGCAAACATTGCAAAGGCCAAGGCAAAGCCTGGCTCACCTGCACTGAGCCACAACCCCAAGGAGGTATGTGGGTGATTTATTACATCATTACAAAGAGCAAAATCTGGCAGGCATGGAGACGCTTCTCTCCCTGCCCCTGGGCTTCCATGGGGAGATACTGAGTGATCTCCTCCAACACAAACCCTTCCTCCAACACGTGCTTCAGATCATTTGGCCAAGGGCTGCCCCAAGCCTTGTGCTAGTGAGGAGAGGTGGTGCTGCCCTGGGGTGATCAGCCTGGCTTTGAACTGTGGTGTTAGTGCATCTCTTTCTGCTGACATGGCACAGCTGATGGCATCAGTGCTGTCTTCCACTGAGCCCAGCCTTCCTCGTGGGAGGGCAACTCATCTGGCAAGGCATGCTGAGGAGGGCAGAGGTGTTACCAAGCAAATAGGGGGCTTAATGTAAACTGAGTGGTGATGGGGTCTGGTTGTTTTGATCCTGGGCAGGTTGTTCCTGGCAGGATGTTCTCGGGTATCCAGTGGGATCTGGTTTTAAATGCCCCCACTGGGAGGGATTTTATAAAGTGAATTCAGCCAATGCCCCTCTTATTTGTCACTGCTGCTCATGGTCTGGAAGGGGCCAGTCTGGAATGGGAGGGGGCCAAGCTACCCTGTAGCGTTGTATGGAGAGGGCATGTGGACAAGCATGGAAACTGGGCACTTGCAGGGCAAAGAGCAAATGGCCCAGTGTGGGGTTTTCTACTGCTTAGCAAAGCCATGTGCCTGCCAGCTATTCCTAACAGATAAAAAAAATACCTTGAGATAGTGTTATCCACCCCTTTGAGGATGGAAATGCTAAATAAGCTAATGTGCAATTTCTCCTCTTAAAAGGACCACCTAGCATTTCTGCAGTGTTTGGAGATGTTGCTGTTGATTATGTTGGCATGCAGAGCAGTATTTGTTATCTGCCCATAAGCATTTATGGATGCCAAGGGTTAGAAAAACTAATACTAGTAATTAAAAATGAAAAGAGCTGACACGACCTCTGTAGTCTTGGTCTGTTATGATTTTGACATCTAGGATCTGTTTGGAGACATTGGTATCATCTGCTTTAAATGCTTATCCTCCAGGGAGGTAGAGGTGAATGTGGACTAACATCTTGAGAGACTGAACGAACCTTCTCCATCTCCAGTCTCTGCTTTGCTGCCTCCTGTGAGGATTGCTGAAGAGTTGCTGACCTGTTTGTTTTCGTTGTGGTTTAGATAATTGCAAAGAGGGGGAGCGACTACATCTTGAAACATGCCCCAGAGATGCACCGAGAACAGCAAGGGCTGAGCGCTAAGGAAGCAGTGCTGAAGTTCATTAAGGAGTCCTGCCTGCTGGAAGATGTGCCTGTCCATTTCTACAGGCTGCAGAAGGTTAAACCAATTCCTTCTTAATTTGAACTTCTCTCCCATAATTAATTGCGTGCACCACTGAACTTGCAAAACAAGTCTAAAACTTTCAGCCTATGAGGCCTGTCCCCACAGACAAATCCGTTGTCGATATACAGGTATAGCTGGAATCTAGTTTTGTTCCTTGGCCAAGAAACTGGCACCAGAATGGCAAAACTTTATTTTTATCCCTGCCTGTCAGTAAACTTGCACCAGGGAATCACAGAGAAGCCTTTTTTCTGTTGTTTGAAATGGTGACAAGAGGTTGGCCAGCTTTCACACAAATGCCATGTAATAACTGAGGTGACACTGAGTCATCCTGACTTTCTTACTCCCTTCCCCCTCCAACCCTGTCAGAGTGGTTGGTGTTTTTTCAGCTGTATGTCAGTTTTTGGATTCCTGTGTTGCTTGTCCCTGAGTTTTAGACCCTTTATCCAAGCCAGCTTAAACAGCATGTGCTTCATTTTCACACGCTAAGAGAGTTTAGGTCTAGAATTAGGAGAAGTTTTCTGTTCTGCTTAAAGTGAGCGGAACCTGCTTGTGCAATTAGGAATGCCTTGGATCTCTTTTTCCCAAATGGTGATACTCCACTTCATCAGACTCATAATTAAATATCTTGGTTGGTTGTGCTCAGTGGGAATTATGTCTGGGAGGTGTTCGTGTCCTTTGACTTGATCTAGCAGTTCTAGTTACTAAAGAAACATGCATTTTTCTGGAGGAAATAAGCTCCAGTTTGGTCTACAGTCCTTGCAAACTGTAGATGCTCTCCCTACCTCTCCTTTATCCTCTTTGTTTTGATTCTAATACTGTTAATGATGCAGTCATAAGAGGGTTGGTTACACTTGAATACCATAAGAAATCCAGCTGTCAGGACAGGATACAGTTTATATCTGAAAGCACTGGGTCTGTGACATTGGTTGCTCTTAATATCAAAATTCCTGTCTAGCTTGAACTTGTATTTTACTCATTGCTAACGCCTTCATGTGGTGTTTGATCCACAATGTGCTCTTCTTCCTGCTGTGTGACACAGTTATCTCACCTTGTGATGAGATTTCCTCCTCCTAGGTGATACCTAGGTCACACACAGGGGTGCCAGGTGAACATGTTGGTGTGCTGGCTGCCCTAAGATTTTACTAGCAGTTACTTTTGTCTTATGCCCTCCTTATGGCTGCTACCAAGGTTGGGAACTCTGAAACAAAACACGGCACTGAGCACCGTATCTCCCCTCCAGAATGATACTGATTTACAAAACCCTTTGCCCTTAGGAGACAGAAAGCGTTTCTTATGACTTCAAACTGGAGACATGGATGGTACTGGGCAAAGGGAGAAGTAATACGATGATACAAGCATAAGGCTTGTATCTTGACAGGCCAGATGAGGAGAGAAAGTTTTGATGGAAAATTTGAATTCTGTGAGCCCATACATCTTTACCCCAAAATTTTCTTCCTCATCCTCCTAGCAAGAAAAGTACGTGTTCCCCTCCCTAACTCTGCCATGCCAGGAAGGACTGAAAGAACTAGTTTGATATTTTTTTTTTGGTCTTCAAGGAAAGGAATCTCATTAGAGACTGAGTATGTCATACCAAGGTACAGTATGAGGAAAAAGAAGGCAGTATTTTGACAGAGCTGCAAACATTTAAGATCACCTGCTCCAAACACTGAGGTTGAAAGGTTAGAAAGTTCCTGTAACTCTGGGCACTGATTAGCCCCCCCTCCCCGCCAAGGTCCAGCAAATCCCTGGGTGGGAGCAGCAGCGCTGTGGCAAGGAGAAGGGGACATGTGTCCCTTCTGTTTTGGGCTCCCTGTCACCTGCAGAGTGAGTGGTGCATGTTCAGGGGGACAGCAGAGGCAGTGCATGGAGGTATGAGAGGTTACAAGGTACCTCTGAGAGCAATAATTGTCCGTGCCCTCAAATCACTAAAGCTACAGGATTCCCTGTCCAGGGCAGCTAAGGTGTGTGTTTCCTGCTAAAATGCTTGAGTTGCCCAGCAAGAGGGGGATTTTTAGATGTAGATATTCGAGGGGTCAACAAGACAAGGTGCCTTTTACAAACACAATAAAAACCAAACGAGCTTATGGCATCTGCCTGATGGAGGTGTCCTGCTACCTCTCCTGCAGTAGGTGCCAGAACAAGAGCATGGTCTTTGTAGATTAACCTTTTACTCTGAGCTCTTCTGTTCTTTCAGGATAAGAAGGAGGATCGCCCGACAGTTATCCTGGGCCTGACCCTTAGAGGAATGCACATCTATCAGGTAACAGACTGCTGTGAAAGCCTTCTGGTGTAGCATTAACTCTGACCAGCTCCCTGTCCTCCCCCCCACCGCAGCTCCTCTGCCTCCCCCTGCGAGCACCAGGCTCCGCATATCTCACATTCTTGGTTGTTTGCAAATTCTTTGCACATCGCTGACTCCACCCTGTACCTGCCAGTCCCTGTGTCACTCTGAGCTTGATGTGTTGCAGGAGGTGAACCACGTTCGCCAGCTCCTCTACGACTTTCCCTGGTCACACATCGGGAAGCTGGCGTTTCTGGTGAGTATGGTGGGATGGAGACCATCTGGCCACAGGCTGTCAGCCTGGTACCTGGCAAAGCCATCGGCCTGCCCGCACTGCCGTGTCAAGCCCTGTTACTCATACACACAAGACTGCAGCTATCTGTGGTTGGTAGTTTTGTGGCTGGAAACATGCTCATTTCACTGGCATCTCTCCTCTTTATGCAGGGGAAAAAATTTGAGATCCAGCCAGATGGTTTGCCCTCTGCACGGAAACTGGTTTACTACACGGGTTGCCCCTTCAGGTCACGGCACTTGCTGCAGCTCCTCAGCAACAGCCACCGGCTCTTTCTGAATATCCAACCTGTACTAAAGCAAATCCAAAAGCTGGAGGAGGCTGAAGGTATGTGATGGAAGAGTTAGGTGACTGGTAAGGGTAAGAGTACAGCATGTTAGGCTCTGCTGTTGCTTCACACTGGCTGCTTACTATCTAATTAATGGTGTTTCTGCCTTATCAGGAAGGCAGTGAGCGAAATAGAGGTGTTAGGTATGTTTCAAGTCCATTACTGGGAAGTGTTTATGGCTCCCACATTGCTAGACTGCGATCAGAAAGTGTGAGTGCAGTAGAGGGGGAATGTCTTACTTTAAGTAAGGAGATCCCTGCTCTGTGTGTTCCCAATTTGTGCACATTTGACGTGTGTTTCTGAGTGGAAGTAATTTTGAATAAAAAGCTTTCTACTGGGATTAGACTTTATTGTGTTCAAGTAGCAGTACAAGTTGTGAGCCTGTGTCTTAATTTTTTAGTGCCCTTTACTAAAGACTGCATGCAGTTTAGCCTGTAGTGTCTGACAGTTAAGGGCTAGGAGTTGCAAGTCCTAGAAAGATCCTGAAAGCAGACCAGGACTCCCAGAATTTGTCTTTTCTGATGGAGTCCCCTCTCTGTAGGAGCAGTGATGTGAACTCAGACGGTCCCTAGTATCCTTCCAGGCAAACTTCAGTCATTTCACCACCTCCCAGCTTGCCCCGTTCCACTTTCCAACTCTGCAAGCTGGGTCTCCTACAACTTTACAGCCTGCCTCTACGTGGTGACTGGTTTTAACACATTGCATAGGTTTTCTTTTAGAGGATTGTGCCCCCTTCCCTCTAGCCTTCTCTCGAATGCCTTTTATCCCCCTGCTTTTTTCCTAACTGCTGTTCCCTGCTTTCTCCATTCACACTCTCTCTGTCTTCTCTGAGGTTTGTAAGACTTGTGTCGTTATGCTCAAGGTCAGTAGAAGTCAGCTAGTAGTAGCTGGTAACTTCTTGTTGGAAACATGTTTCTGGTTACTTCCCATGTCAACTAACTCTAAGGAGCTTAAGCGGTGATCACTGTTTGTGTGGGATCAGGGTACAGGGCAAGGCAGTCCTTGGTCTCATCTAGCTTGGTTATTTCTGTGTTTCCCTTCAGAGGGGTTATAGCAGTGGCCTTGAGCTGTGTGGGTGCACTGAGTGGCATGTGCCAGTTGTCTGTAGAAAGGCTCACTAACCAAGTGTGTGTGTGCAAAAGGCCCTAGGTTGTTTCGTGCCTGCTAGTGTCTCATGGATTTCTTGACCACCCTCAGCACACCTCTCTTAACAGATACAAGCCATTGGAAAATCATTAATAAATCATTAATAAATGCCAGCCACGGTGATCCTGTTCTTGGCTGTCTCCACACACTGGTGACTGTTTCAAGAAATGATCAATGCACCCTGTTTTTAAAGACTGACTTAGGTTAGCTTAGGGCAATTCCCCCACCCCCTTTTTTTTATTTTTGTCCTTCATTTTGGAAGCTACTGTTTTCTGTATCATAACTGCCTCTACCTGCCTGTTCTAAATCAGGAGATGCCAGGTTTACTGCAGGCATGACTCACTCATTCTTTCAGAACCAGCTGAGCATCCTAGTATCTGCTGGGCAAACAAAATACAAAACTGTCCCTGTATCTGTTCAGTAGCTGCAGCAGTTGTTTCTTAATGGTCGGGTTGTCCCAGTCTGTGATTATTTTGCTACCCTTGCTTCGGTCTTGCTTGAAGTTCCCACTGGTTTCTCTCATCTTCCTTCCTCAGAGAAGAAGCGCTACCGGGAGTCCTATATCAGTGACACGCTGGACATGGACCTGGATCCATGCGATAAGAACTCGCGCGGCAGCGGGAGCAGCGGGGGCAGCCGGAGGGACAACCGCCTCTCGCGCCAGTCCACAGGGAGTCACGGCAGCTCCCACACATCGGGCATCGAGGCGGACTCCAGGCACCGGGTGTCGGTGGAAATGTCGGTGGATGAGCCCTTCAGCATCGACCGCGTGCACAGGAAGGAGAAATCCTGCAGCTCAACCATCAGCTACGGCAGCTCAGGCATTGACAGCGGCAGCAAAGGGCGGGCTGAAGATGACTCTCAGGATGATGGTAAAGAATTTGGAGAGGCAGAGTGACTTCTAAGCCTGCTCTTGTCTACTCCTGCAGGAAAACGGGGAGTGAGAGAATGCGAAGCAGCTTGGAGCAGAAGTGTAATGCTAACCCTACTCCTGCTGCTCTCTTCCTCCTAGAGCTTGAGCTGGCAGTAGATGAGCCAGAGGAGGTGCCTGTAGATGAGCCTTTAGAGGGAGACCAGTTAGAGGAGGCCACTGTGGGAGAATCTGTTGAATCTCTTCCTCTAGATGCTGCTAGCTGCCAAGGTGAGATGGCTTTCTGCTACTGCTCAATGCTTTTCTGTAGGCTTTAGCACCAGGCATAATCCGAGGGATGTAAAAAAGCTGTATCTTCTTCCAAACAACTGCCAGTATTACTTGCTGCCCTACTGCAGCATGTTTCGAAGTCAGCTCATCTAGAGGTTAAAGGCGAGCATGCTGTATTGTACAGTGCTGCTCTCCTCTGTCCTCCTCAAGGTCTCCCTTCTCCAAATCTGCCAAGTTTATACTCTGTTAATGACAAAAAGATAACTGAGGTAAACCTTTTGTAGTGAAAGAATTTGCTTTAACATCCTGTATACCACAAAATAGACAAGGTGTTCAACCACAGATTAACAGGCTAGTCACAGGGATGAATAGGTAAAGTTTTGTGGTTTGTGATACAGGAAATGCCAAAGAATGGGATCATGCAGGAGCTGTCTGGCCTTAAGACACACAGCCTTTATAGCAAAGCAAGGTGGGTGAATATGGGACACATTGGTGACAAGCTGTATTCTTGAGGTTTTTAAACGTTAATCCTTAGGGGCAAAAAGGACTACTTGTGAGCAAAACTCCTGGAGCATTGAGGGTGCTTAGTGATGTATATTTATGTCTGTAAGCTACCACTGCTTGAATGTGGCCCGTGAGAATAACTTCCTTTTTCTGCAGCCCACAAAACCTCAAATCTGCAATGCTGCTCACTTCTTCCCTCTCCTTTGTAGCCATAAATCAGGAATCGCTGTCTGTGGTGCAAGTCACGCTAATAAAAATGAGAGGCCAAAGTGTGGAATCCCTTCACCAGGTAAGGGGTGCTCGGCAGGAGGGTCTGTGTGTGGGCATTGAACCAAGGTCTAGTGCAATGGAGACAGCTGTAAATCAGGCGACCTTAAGTGGTCTGGATTGGAGTGATTTTTAAATGGTGTAACCGGAACCAGCTGTTGGCCAGCTGCTGCTCAGTAGGCATAGGATGAGAGCAGCCTTTGGGTCCAGAACAGTATAGAGAGATTTGGAGCCATTGGTGGGGAAATCTTGCAAGCCAGCTTTGTCTGCCTTAGGCTTCCAGAAATGGGAAATGGAAAATAACCCACTTCCAAATTTTCAGTGTGAGATAGAGCCAAGACCATCCATGCAGTTTGGATGTGCGTTGCAAACTTCATAATCTTCCTGTTCCTGAAGCCAGAAGGAGCTCACATCAGAGCAAAACCAGATGCTCGAGCTCCTAATTACTATCATTTGTGTGATTATACTATGCATGTGCCTAAGTCTTTGTCGTCAACATTTTCTTTTCATTAAACCCTTGAGAAAAGACATCTATATAAGGTAAAATATGCTATATCATAAGTTGTGCTTGGAAAAAGCCTATTAAAATGTCTTTCTGAGGCCAAATAATATTTCTTTTCAAAGTATAGCTGTGTCCACTAGGGTAGAAAAAAACAAAACCAAAACCAAGCCTCCACCATTTCTTCCTTTTCTGAATCCAAATTAGCTTTATCTGCTAGAAGAATGGTTTAGGTTTTCAATTAACTTTTTTTTCCAAAGCTGAACAAATCATAATGAACTTACTCGTATACAAGTGGAATGTCTTAAAGAGTGCAAGACAGGGAGCGGGCATCTTGCTTAAAGTCATGTTTTTAATGTTAATGCTTTTACCAACACATGCTTTTATATATTTATTGATTAGGAGGCATCTGTTTTATAAGAATATTTCTGATCAACACAGGACTGTCTAAACAATTGCAAAGACCTGGCTGCCACTTTTATACTTTAAAACCCCCACAAACTTCCTTACGAGGCCATGTTGCAGGACTGAGTTTCCTTAACATTGACAGGACTGTACAGCATGTGCTCATTTCTGGGAGTGCAGCTGGGCCAGCACAAGGTTTCCTCAGGGTAGTTTTTAATTCCCATCCTGTGGAGGTCAGAGAAGTGATATGGGAGGAAGTTTCCTGTGTTTCTAACAGAAGTATCTTGGTTTAAAAATTGTATTCCTGAAATCAGCCTTTATATTAGCATTTAAAAGCTGATTATTAAGAGACAGATCAAGAAAAAACAGGTGGGGAAGTTGGAAATGCCTGGAATGGTCAGTAATTTCTCCACTGAGGCTGAGTCACTACAGCTTGTGTAGCAAGACGCTGCCTCTGGGAATTACTGCTGGTATGTCACTCCTGTTTTCTTCATTGCTAAACAAAGTTATGTAGATGAAACTGTATGTCACAGTTAATTTTTGACACCGTAACACCATTGGGTGTTACACCATTTTGGACACCATTAGTTTGCATGGTTGCCTTCTGAACCTTATTTTGAACTTCTTAGACTTTCAGTAACTCGGAGTGTTCAGGCAGCTGGGCTGACTTTTTGTTACATGCACTTCATCCATTTGAGGATGACCGCACGGATCTGGAATAAGTGCCAGGTCATTCGGGTGTCAATACCTGTCAAGTATTTGGTACACTGTACTGGATACTGAGGACACTGTGCAGACAGATCAGGATCTGGCCCAGCGTGGCAGGGCAGCTTAAAGCACTTGTAATTTCTCAGTGGTTCACAGTTTCTTCATTAAGCCAACATCCTTCAGGCTGGTGGGGCTGTTTTGAAGGAGTGGAAGAACGATTTTGGGAAACTTGTAGCATGCATAGCCAGCAACCTTAGGCTGTGTCTGAGCTCATTGTTCTTATTCCTGTGTGTCTGACTGAACTGACAGGTCAGATCGCTCAAAAGCAGGAGCTGCACAGACCAGCACAGCCAGAGCTTGGACGACATCCGCCTTTACAAGCACCGGCACCCACCACTAAGTGCCACGCTGTCTTCAGACACGTCCCACAGCTACACGTTTGGCTGCAGCCTGGAGGATAGGCTGTCTATCTATGGCTGCGTTTATTCCACAGCAGACTGCAAAACCAAGTCTGCTCTTTATGGGAAGCGATCCATGAACTGCCTCTCCTTGGATCTTCTGGGAGAAGACCAGCTCCCAGAGGAATTTGTGGTGTAATGAGATTGGAGCTCTTCCATACCAGGAAACAGCTCATCATGGAAATATATACCTCATTAACACATGTGATGTCACTCTGGTTCTTGCAGGAGATTGTGAGCAGCTTTGTTATTCAGCTCCATAATCAGTAAGTGGCATCACTTCTGCAGACCTGACTCCAGGGCAAATCAACTGGAGTGTAGCACTTAATATTGGCATTTGAAGTGTCTGAGCAGAAAATGGAAGTGGCCTGCGCCATTAGCAGTGACACAACCAACGCAGAAACCAAAAACCCTGGACCAAAACTGGCGCCGAGCTAGTAAAGCAAACACTGTGTCTTATATGGATTTATCAGAAAGAAATTTAAAGTCTATGTCAGTTTATCTTCCTGCCATTCTCTTGTGGTCCACTTGCGTTAACCAAGCTATCTGTACCCCAGCATTGTCTTGAGTTTGTGCTGCTGCACCACTGCCAACAGCTGTCAGGCCAGGATAGGATGTACTCTGAGCACATTTGAAGGGCCATGTATGGAAGTGTCTAGCCTGCTCCTATTGTAATGAACGTAAATTGCCTGTTTGCTTTACTGGGAGCAAGACCTGCTCTGCCAGGAGTTCTTCCTTTTTATTCCTTTTGTTGTAAGCATCCAGCCAAATACGTTGTGTGTTCTTTTTCCCTTTTTTTCTTTAATGCAACAAATGGAGTTCTCTCAGCTGTCTGCTACTGCTGCCGTGATGCAGATTGGTAAATAAATGCTTATATCTTTGGGGACACGAGGCAGGGAATAAAACGAGAGACTTGTCTTCTGTGCTCTCAGAAGCAGCCAAGTTAAGGGTGTTAATTGACTGGCTCTTGAAGACAGGAGTGTGACTGGAGAATTTGTCCAGGCATGATCACCCCTTAACACTGAATCATACTTTAATGTTGTTCTTTTCTTTGTTTTTAATAAATTTATTCCTCAGAACTCTTTCTCTCTGCATAGGAGGCAGGTATGGACCAGAGAAAGTCACTTTGGAAGGACAGACAGAGTGACTGTGTCCTACTTAGACATGGATAGGTCATGCAAATGTGTGTGTGTGGTGCTGCAGGGCTGGCAGTGGTGGAAGTGTAGGGTACTTGTTTGGTAATTTTGAGTGGTGGAGCTGGCTGTGCTGGCTCTCACTAGGAAAATAATGGTAATTATGCTGTTTGTTTGAAGCATTTGGTGTGGAAAACATTCTGCTACCTTGTTCCAACCAAATAAGCATATGTTTGTTTGATTTCCTTCCCTGGAAAGTCTTCCCCCGATACCTGCTCCCCAGATCAATTCCCAGCATTTGGGAAGCTTGTACTGACAGGCATGTGTAACCTGTACCCAGCTTTTGACAACCTTGCAGGTGGAAGCTAATTTTTTTGGCAAACTCTAGAGGCAGCCTGATACTATTCTGCTGGTTAAGGAAGTGTGTGTTCTGCAGTGCTGATCACTCAAAAGCTGAAGATAACCAAATTCAGGAAAGGAAGGAAGCCAGATCACAATGATGAGGGTTGGAGCTGCTGCTTTGACGGTGGGCTTGCAGGCTTAATCTTAATCATGTTCCCATAACTTATTAAAATAGCAAATCTGTGAAGTTTGTCATCTTGCCGTGCCTATGCAAGTGAGCGACGTGTAGAGGCAGAGTGTGCAGGTGCATCTGCATTTACTAAAGTGGCTTCAGTGGCTGTACATCCTCTGAGAAGAATCCAGCACCAAACACTAGCTGTGTGTTTGAAGAATGAATGATGGGCACAAGCTCACCATAGTCATGACGTAATTGATTGTGCCCTCTTTGATCACGCTGTTCTTCCTTTTTGTAATGAACAGTTAGAAGCTGTGTGTTCACCATAACCTCTTTTCTTCCAAGCAAAGCCAAAATGTCTTTAGAGAGTACTTGAGGTATATTTACTGCATCCAAAATAAACTCTGCTAAATGGATCTAAATGGATGAGCAGTCCAGTCCAGCCTCCCGCTGTTGGTCGCTCCCTGGTACCTGGGGCCTGTTTGGCCATAAGCCATGGAAGACAGGCACGGCCTGGATCCAGGAGGCCTGGGGCCATGCTGCAGGGAGCAACCTTGTTCTTGCCATCATTGCAGAGCTAGAGGGATGGCTTTTACTGTGATGATGCCTGTCCGCCCATGGGAAAGGTGGGGAGTTCTGGAGCACCAGTCCTGCTAAAATTGCTTTCCAGCCATGCAGACATACAGTTACTTGTGGTTCTGGCAATGGTTGTTAACAGGAAAGAAGCTCAAAATTCAGTGAGTATAGATGTTTGGAAAAGCATCATAAAACACGTGTGCACCACATGCTCACATCCATGCTCGCTTGTCTCAAAAGACATCCTGCTCCAGCCTAACCACCTTACTGAAGTGTTTATTGCCACCAAGCAGCTTGGTAGTTTCTTTTTGCAATTACTAAGCACTCAATGGATTTGGTGAAATCCACTTGTAATCCTGCTGTTGCTGGTTGTAAAACATTCCAATACCTGAAAACGGTGTACTTGGCTCTTGCATGAGCATCCACTGCCTTGTATATACATGGGGGTTTCTTGTATTTATTCATGGCTGGTGCAGAAGGCAAACTCTCCAGGTCTGACCGTCTTCTCTCAGTGGTCTATGCAGCTCCCTCCAGAACTGTAAGTTACATATGCGTATGAAGGGGAGACTGGACACTTTTGTGTATAGACTGATAATTAATATCTTACAAGCACTGTGAATATCTATTATGCAAGTTCTTGTATTCATATGAAAAAAAAAAAACCAACCCTGTTCCTGATAGTAATAGATTTATTTTTGTTTGTCTTTATATTTAGGAGGTGTCTTATTATTTTCAGTTTGGATTAGTTTGGTAGAGGGCAACGTGTAAGCATTTATTAGCTGATGTTAGAAACTAGCTGCCAATATTTGTATATATTTGTAAAATACTCATGGTATAATCGCTCTATTTTAATGGTAAAAGTTTCTCCTTTCCATGAAAGGAATTTCTTGTTTAAAATAAAATATAAATAATTATATGTACACCTGCAATAAAGTATGGATAGAAAAATGCAATTACATATCTTCATCATTTTTTTTTCCCATTAAGAGGTGCGTGTCAGTGCCATCTTCCTTTTGTAGAAATTAATTTCTGTAACCCATCTGAGTTTGGCTTGTGATGGCAACCCCAGAGGCACTGTAGTCACTGGAACAACTCCTTTTCCTCCCTGCCGTTCTTAGTAGCATGAAGCCAAAGGTGTCTCTGTTGGGCACTGAGGACCCAGTCAAGCCAGGTTGGAGTCAGTGGGAACACTAATGGGAGCTGAATCCGACTGAAGAGACAAGTCGAGCTGCTCATGGTGGTTGGTCAAGAAAACTGCGTGTGTGCACTCCGAAGGGTGTAGAGAGATGTGCCAGCATCCTCCCAGGGGCTGCATCCAGGGACAGGCACACAAGCCCATGTGGTGCAAAGCGCTGCTGAGGAGCACTCTGCCCCAAGTCACCTAACCTGCTGGCTGGGAGGCTGGCATGGGTACAGGAGAGCCTGGCTTTTCTTGGCACATGAACCTGTGAAGGAGTGCTGTAGTCTAACTGTCCACATCTCAAAGAAGCTTGCTGACCAGGCTTCCCTTGTAAATGTTAGGGGGCTTTTACTGTGTGGTGGTGTTGGGTTTTGGGGGTGAGGTTTGGGGGGAGTTGCTTGTGTTTATTTGTTTTCCTTTTCTCTGGATATGTTAATGGATAACTAAAGGTAGCAAAGAAAGAAAAGAAACGTTTAACGTTGCTTCTGTGCTTACGACTGGGTGCAGCTGGCAACGAGCGGCCGCT